GAAATTATAGGGAAAAAAATAGTAAAATTAACATCCATATAGCCCTCATACAGATTCAATAATGGTTGACTATTTTGCTATTTTCGAGTCAGTAAAAGATGCAGTAACCTGTTATTCCTAAGTATCTCAGCATGAATCTCTTAAAAGCAAGTACAGTCTCCTATACAACCACATCATGATCACACTTAGGAAAATTAGCAGTAATTCAATAATATCAGCTGCTATTTATTCTACATTCAAAATTATGAAACCTCTTACTTACAGCTGGGTCCCTCAGTCCCCACCTCCAAATCCAGAAGTCAGTTTCCCTCCCTTCCTTCCTTCCTCGCTTCTTTCCTTCCTTTGTACGTTCAGTCCTTCCTTCCTTCCTTTTTCTTTCCTTGTCTCTTTTTCTTTCTTTCTTTAGTTATTTCTTTCTTTCTCTTTCTTTGTTTCTTGCTTGCTGGCTGGCTTCCTTTCTTGATTTCTTCTTTCAATTGCCCTGTTTTTGAAGCATTAAGGTCAGTAGTCTTATATAATATCTCATCACTGGATATGTCTGATGATTTATGGTGTTACTTAATTTTCTCCTCTACTGCCAGTAATTCCTGTAAACTGATTTTTTAAGTCAGAAACTTGATGGGATTCAGGTAAAATATTTGGAGCAAGATTACTTCTTAGGTAAACTTGTTATATAAGAGTACTTGGGGCTGAGTGTGGTGGTTCACACCTGTAATCCCAGCACTTCGGGAAACCAAGGGGGGTGGATCATGAGGTCAGGAGATCAAGACCATCCTGGGCAATGTGGTGAAACGCTGTTTCTACTAAAAACACAAAAATTAGCTAGGCATGGTGGCACACACTTATAATCCCAGCTGCTTGGGAGGCTCAGGCAGAATTGCTTGAACCCAGTAGGGAGAGACTGCAGTGAGCCAAGATCGTGCCACTGCACTCCAGCCTGGAGACAAAGCAAGACTCAAGAGTACTTGGATGGTTCTTTCTGCTCATTGGTTTTGCTAATCTCTTTGTTTTTAGCAATCGTTCCACCTTGTCAACTTCCTCCCTCTTTTGCCTAATTTTACAGTGCTGTAATGGCAGATATGAGAAGGGTACCCTCTCTTCCTAATAGAGTCAAGTATTCATGGGCCCTTTGACAGGTCTTAAACTAAGAGTGTTTGTCTCTACTGATGTCAAGAGTTGCAATTATCAGAAAACAGAATCAACTCCAGATAAATCCTAAAAGAGGGCTCATATTTTCTCTGTGAACCCCAACAGTATATGTTTGGATCAGATTCCTGAGACATAGTAGGAGTTGTTTAACTTCCAGTATCTATCAATAGCATAGATGACAAAAAATAATACTTAAATAGTAACAGTATTTAATATTACAACATCACTAATACAATATTGGAGCAACGGTAAATACCATTCGCAAGTATTGGTGAGAGTTCATTTGTCCTAGAATAGCTCATTCAGGAATCAGAGAAAGGAAATTGTTATCAATTTTGTATTTTATCCCAAGTCTTTGTTTCCATCCGTTGTGTTATTAATGAATTAAGGCTCACTGTCATTGTCACTAATATATTTTTACAAAAGTGATCGTTAACATAAAGCTTCATTCATAGTTGTATGCATTTAAGTTTCCAGGAAAAAAAAAAGTTTCCAGGAAAAAAAACAAAACAAAACAAAACAAACTGACAAACAAAAACCTCAGGTCCTGGAGCAACAGCAGAGCATTTACATATATTATTCAGAAAAATAAATAAATAAAATGAGAAAAATATTTCTAAATGATGTGCAAGTTGAAAGGCCTTCATGATATGGGAAAATAAACTGCAATCATTCAGTTGCATTTAGAATCCAAGGCTTGTTCTTTTCCAGGGGCTAACGGTGTCCATTTTTTCAGCCGTCCACCTCACCGTCACCTTCTGAGGGTGAATTGGCCAGTGTTTCCGTGCAGAATGTTAAAACAGCATTTACATTTCTCACTGCTCCTTTGATGTTATCTCCTTCAATTGCACAATGAAAACACACAGCTACTGAAATGCCAGAGGGAACATACTCTGATTATAAATGTGCTGGGGTGAACAATGAGAGAAAACCCATGTCCCCAACATCGTGATGGGCTCCTCACTTAGCCAAATGCCACCCCACAGCTTCCTCCCACCCCTTTTGGGAGGGTGAACACACAGTATTGTGACCCCAGCTAATTCATGTTAACCATACAGCCTATGACCTTGTAATAGAATGGGACTATTCAACCCATTATCTCAACGAATATTTATTGAGCACCTGTTGTGTGCTGAGATCTGCATGACCAACTCATCCTGGTTTACCTGGGACGTTCCCATTTTAAGGCTGAAAACTCATCATCCTGGAATCCCTTACGTTGTGACAAATTTGGATGGTTAGTCACTTGACCCATACTGGACACTGTGGATAAAGATAAATTTCTGGCAACAAGAAGCATGTTGTCTAAAAGAGAATCCGAAAAATAAGTCAATTATTAGAGTTTGGAGTGATCAGTACTTAGAATCATCAAGAGGACACTGTGCAGTGCAGAAAGTTGAATCTAAATCTAACTTGGGGACACAAGAATGCATCCTGAAGGAAACAATGTTTGAGAACAATTTAAAGAATGAGTAGAGCAGCATCCGCAATTAAATTCTGCACATATTGAAAGGGAGACACCTGTGGGACACTATGCAATTTTGTTCTTTCTCTGAGTCGCAAAATCTGTGTATCTGGTTTAGATTCCCATAACCTGGAGGCAGGATTTTAGTAAAAAATATGCAGAAAGAGAATGCTCATTCTTAGTTTGTTTTATTATGGGACAGAATAAACCAGACAATATTTCAGTCCTGAAGGTAGTGGTCATTTTCTGAACCAGATATAAATATATAATATGTATTTGTTTCTCTGAGGTTTGTTTTGAAAAGAGTGAGAATGAGTGGTCTGTGGTGGAGACACCTTTAGTGGAGGCTAGGGACACCAAAGTGGACATTATGCATACCAAATAAAATGTGAGAAATTGTTTTTCACATTTTTATTTTGAAAAAAATCCAACTTACTGAAAATTGCATTTTTTGAAAAATTTTATACTCTTCATCTAGATTTGCCAGTTATTAAAAAGTTGCCAATTTACCTTTTTTCTTTTTCTTTATACATCTGTGTATTTATTGTTATTCTTGATTATTATTGAGCTGTTATAGAGCAACTTGTGGAAATTTTACCCCTTTCATTTTAAATCCTCCAGTGTGTATCTCCAAAGAATATGGCATTCTCCTGCATTACCACAGTATGATTTTATATTCAGGAAATTTACACTGACATAATACTAGTATCTAATAGAGAAGCAGCATACAGATTTTGCCCACTCTTCCAATAATGTCTTTTATTGGCAATTATCCTTCTGACCTAGCATTCAGTCCAGAATTCTGTGCTACATTTGGCTATCACATCTCTTATTCTTCATCTGGAAGAACTCTTCACATTTTTCTTGTCTTTTATGATAGACATGTTGGATGAGTAGCGGGCAGCTGGTTTCTAGAATGCCCCTCAGTTTTGGTTTGTCTGATGTGTCCCCATGATTAGGTTCAGATTATGAATTTGGGGCTGCCTAAGTGATATGTCCATCTTGACGCATCACATCGGGAGGAACACGTGACCAATTTGTCCCCTTGCCTTGATCACCTGGTGAAGGTGGCAGCCTACCAACTTTCCACACTGTAAAATTACCAGTTTTCCTTTTGTAATTAATAAGGAATCTGTGTTATCAGGTGCTTTGAGATTCTGTAAATATCCCATTCCCCATCATATGTTGACTCGGCTTTTTTTTTTTTTTTTTTGCTTCTTTTTTAGTTTGTAAGGCCATCATAACGAAGTATGTTGCTTAAAACAACAGACATTTACTGTCTCAGAGTTTGGGGGCTGGCAGTCTGAAACTGAGGTGTCAGGGTTGTTTCCTTCTGAGGGCTGGGAGGAAAGGATGCGTTCTAGGCCTCTCTCCTTGGCTTGTAAATGGGCATCTTCTTCGTGTGTCTCTGTATATTATCTTCCCTCTGTGTGTGTCTCTGTGCTCATATTTCCCCTTTTTGTACGGACACGTCATACTGAGAGAGGGCCCACCCAAATGACTTCACTTTAACTTCTTTAGCTCTGTAATGAACCCATCTTAAAATAAAGTCACATTCTGAGGCGCCAAGGGTTAGGACTTTAGCATGTTAAAGGGAGAAAAAGAATTCAATTCACAGCAGATGCATTCCAGTCATCTCTGGACTTTCCCAGGGCTCATTATGAAGCCAGATGACATTAAATTTCTCTCCGTACCCTTTCTGCAAGTAAAAAGTCAGTGTTCAGCCTGAAGACACTTCACATGTTGGCTCTAAGCTTTTCCTGGCCACCTGTCCACAGGGCTGTGAATTTTACACTTGCCCGTATTCAGAATGACTTCTCTTTCAGTTCTAGAGATTTTTAAGAGAGTTTGCTTTATTGCTTACCACCCATGTGTGTGCTATTAAGTGCCTGTCATCTGCACTACAGCAGAAGTACCAGCAGCTGAATTAGTGGCAATATTTATTTTTTGCAGAAACAAGTAGTCCATTGAGAAAAGTATTTATCTCTTGGTGCGTTTGTTTTGGTACGTTTGTCTGATGTGCAAGCAAATGAATTCTAGAGACTATACTTGGGGTGTTCACATTAGGGACTCTCAGCAGGAGAGGGACCTGAAGCCAGGCACAATGCTTCATAAGTTTTTAATTCAAAGGATTGAAGGACAGAAAAGACGGAAAACAAAAATTTATCAGTTACCTGAGAACTCTCAGCTAGAGGAGGACTGAGAGATAGGAAAGGAGGCTTTCCCGGGCAATAAACTCTGCAGTGTGGTGTCTCTCTCTTAAAACCATTAGAGTTCATGCTGGTCACATCACAGGTTCTGTAACCTTCGCCTGCATGCATCCTTGTGTAGAAATGGGAAAAGCCTGAGCAGAACACTAACTTGCTTTCCTTGGTTTCTTGATCAGGTCACAGACATAAAAGAGAAATTGAAGCTCTCTAAAAAGGTCTGGTCGGCATTACCCTACACCATCTGCAAGGACGAGAGCGTGACAGCGGGTACGTCCAACGAAGAGGAATGCTGGAATGGGCACAGCAAAGCCAGGTGAGGGTGACTCGATGTGCACATGGAAGGGGGAGCAGCACACCCAGCCTTGGAAGATGCTCCTGGCACAACTCAGCAGACCTGTTTATGCAAAAAGCAACAGGGGGTGGAGGGACAAGTCATCACTTAGCAACAGCTGTTGAGAGTGACAGGTTTGATGGGCACCTGGGAGCACTTTCTCTCAAGGTGCCATTAACCGTGGAATCCTTGTTCGAAATGCCTTGCCTCTGGATGAGGACAGGGGAACGGTGACAGATGCCAGGTTTCAGATACCCTGTGATCCCAAAAAGCTTTTTCAGGTTCACTTAATGGCTTTAAGACACTGAAGCTATTTTTACCCATAGCTAAATTTCCAGGGCTCCTTTTTTCAATCACAAGTTAAACAGGAAATGAAAATTCAATTGGTTTTTTTTTTCACCCTTGTTGGAAAAATAATTGAAGTGTTTATTGGCAAGGTAACAGAAAATATCTGAGGGACACTGAGAAAGGGTTTGAATAGGTGTCACACCTTGGGAAGTCCCATCAGAACCTGCTGACAAGAGACAGCTGTTTTCATCATCCTGCTCTGCTGACCAGTGCTGTGGGGACTTGACATGGAATTTCTGAATTTGTTGATTCAGCTCAGAAATGGGCTTGGCCTGGACATTCATAGGATGAAAAGGCTGGATGGGAGGACCTGTTGGGAGTTGGCAGGCACTGCCAGAGCACTTAGCAGTGAGGTTGCAGGTGGGTAAAGCAGCTGGTAAATTAGTCTCAAGGAATCTTTGGGAATTGACCAGTGGGTGGAGAGTCTAAGAGGGGAGTATGTTCTGGGGCTTTATTGAGCAGTTTCAAGCATATGAAGCAGCTGTGATCAAAAGGAAACAAGAAGGTATGTGGTTGGCCGGGTGCAGTGGCTCATGCCTGTAATCCCAGCACTTTGGGAGGCCCAGGTTGGAAGATAGCTTGAGCTCAAGTTTGAAACCAGCCTGAGTAACATTGTGACACCCTGTCTCTACAAAAATAAATGTAAATCTTTGGCTATTAATATAAAGTGTGTGGCTATGAAGTTCAGAAGAAACTGCAGAAGTTAAGCAGGAGGTGTAAGGGAGGTGCACATTAGCTTTTATTTCTTATGCTGCTCAGTTGCATGTTTTTAGCGTCTATTGCTATATTAATCCATTCTCACACTGCTGTAAAGAACTTCCCTGAGAATGGGTAATTTATAAAGGAAAGAGGCTTGACTGATTCAGTTACCTATAGCTGGGGAAGTCTCAGGAAACTTACAATCATGGCAGAAGACAAAGGGGAAGCAGGCACCTTCCTCACAAGGTGGCAGGAGAGAGAAGTGCAAGTGAAGAAGAAGAGCCCCTTATAAAAGTGTCAGATCTCATGAGAACTCACTCACTATCATGATAAAAGCATGAGGGAAACCACCCCCATGATCCAAGATCCTTTTCTTAACACATAGGGATTATGGGGATTACAATTCCAGAAGGGATTTGGGTGGGGACACGGAGCCTAACCATATCGATTGCTAATGATATTATTAACCATACCAAGAAGAATTTAGCAAGGTGAAAGCAAGGTACCTACCAAAAAAGAGCTGCAACCATTTCAAATTGCTCAAAATATCAATATCAAAACATAGATCATGAGAAGGAAATTAGTCATGATATTAACAACATGCCACTAAAAAATACTTAGCATTTTACCAGTGGGCTTTTTAGCTAGGAGATCTTTGGCCAGGAAATTCATCTATGAATTAACAGCTTCTAGTGTGTATTTTCCCGATGACTATACAGAGAGACACTGTGAAGGATGGCCAGATGGCCTAATGAATAAAATGCTTGGTTTTTTGAGCTTCACTGTTTCCCATCTGTGTTTACCTTTCAGCCTTGGCTAACATAAAGCCTGGGTTTCGAACTGCTATTCTCATGGATGGTCACACAGGTTGCTGATATTAGTGCATATGTAATTTCTTACAAAAAGAAAATTTTTTTTAAAAAGGCCATGGGTGAGGCTAGAGGAAGAAACTAAACACTACCAAGAATATGAATAGGGAAGATAAAGACCACTGAAGTTAGAGCTGAAGGAGATCAGGATGGTTCAGACAAGTTCTTCATTGTGCAGATGAAGAATCCAGACAGGATAAATAATTAGTCCACTGTTACCCAATTAACAGGGCTGAAAGCTGGGAATCTCCCAAATCCTAGCCCAGTATTTTTTTTCATAGCAATACATAGCAAATACATAGCAATACATAGCAAAAGCCTCTTAAACAAACAACAGCAAAATACTGTCCTCTCCAAGTTGGGAGAACAAATGAGACAGATCCTAAGCTCTGTAAAATCTTGAGTGGTTCTATAGCATCCACTCAGTCAGTCCACCAGTCCACCAGCCATACAATTAAGCACTCCCTCTGTCCTAGGCATTGTGCAAGGCCCTGTAGATTAAGTGCTGTAAGATGGTAACGGGAGGCTGAGACAGGCAGATTACCTGAGGTCAGGAGTTCGAGATCAGCCTAGCCAACATGGTGAAACCCTGTCTCTGCTAAAAATACAAAAATTAGCTGGACGTGGTGGTGCGTGCCTGTAGTCCCAGCTAATTGGGAAGCTAAGGCAGGAGAATCGCTTGAACCTGGGAGGAAGAGGTTGCAATGATCCAAGATCATGCCACTGCACTCCAGCCTGGGTGATACAGTGAGACTCTGTCTCAAAAAAAAAAAAGATGACAATGGGATCACTGCATGAAAAGGTACAGTGATTGGGGTGAGCACAGTGAATCTGGGAACATCAGTACCCTACTGTTGGACTCCAGGTTTAGGAAGGGACCACACTGGTAGAGAAAAACCTGGATCCGTCCTCAGGCACAAGATTTAAATTTTATCCTGAGATTAACAGGAAGACACTAGAAGATTTTATGCAGGTGGAGAAATGATCAAGTTTAATGCAATGAAATCACTTGTGGGAATACTACAGAATTTAACCCAATAAAATATATATTTATTATGCATAAGTATATTATTAAAAGATGAGACTGTCAACTATTTATGACTCAAATTATGTACCCATTGGACAATTACAATTACCTGGTTTCCTTTAGTTCTTTTTTTTTTTAATTCTTCCACTAGCAGGGATTTCTAATATTATATTTTTATATACTAGCACAGTAAATAGATCACCAATAAAGACTTGTTGAATTGAATTTAATTGAGGCTTTCTTCTTATCCAAATTTTAATTCACCTAGAAAAACATCACAGAAATTTTTCACTTAAAGAAATTTACTGAACTATTTTGTAAGTGTGAGAATCCATTATAATGTGGATAATAACTTACTTTTTCCCATTTTTGAATTATGAGTTTTAAAACGACAGGCCTTTTTAATTGTTAAGGAATGATTTTTCAAAAAAATGAAAGAGAAAAAAAAGTTACTCTTATCACCTATGTGAAATGAAAGAACTAGAAACTTTATTTGTAGAAAATCTGGCTAGGTGCAATGACTCACACCTGTAATCCCAACACTTTGGGAAGCTGAGGCAGGAGGCTCACTTGAGCTCAAGCGTTTAAGACCAGCCTGGGCAATATAGTGAGACCCTGTCTCTACAAAAAATAATGAAGTAGCTGGGCATGGTGGCAGGTGCCTGTAGTAGTCTTAGCTACTCAGGAGGCTGAGGCAGGAGGATCACCTGAGCCCAGGAGTTTGAGGCTGCAGTAAGCTATTATTGTGCCACTGAGCTCCAGCCTGAACAACAGAGTGAGACTCTATCTCTAAAAACATAAAAATAAAAAAATCCATCAACTGTTAATAGATATGAAGCAGAGATGTGTATTAGAACTGATGGGGACTGTCATGCCTGAAGTTTATAAACTCAAGCCTGTGCGATGAGGTCTCCAATAAACCAGACATTTCTTCCTCTCTTTCTGTTTTATCCGTCAGACTCCTTCAGCCACACGTTTTTGTTTGTACCCGCTCCTGCAGCCTTGTGTCCTAAGTGTTTGATCCGGCCTGTCTCCCATCACCCTTATTTTTCTTGATTACTTTCTGAATCTTGCTCCATAGCTTTCTATCATACTTCCTTGACTCAGAAACATACCTATTTCAAATTTTAACATTTCTGGTATCAAAATGACTCTTACAGTAAATATGTCCATTTACTCCGGTGATTATCTTATTTTTAAAAAAGCTGTTATTAAGTTAATGCCACCAGTTGAAATTGATGATGACTTCAAATAGAACAGGATACACAGAGACGTGGCTGCTGTGGCAATCTGCAAGGTGCAATCTGCAGTGTTGAGATCATGGTTAAGGGTGGGTAAGCAGTGGTCCTCTAAGGTTTGAACCCACTCACATCCCCCTGCTTCCCCCACTTGCTCCACCCTCACCCATCTCTGACAGATCTCACTCTGTCTCTGTAGCTAAACAGGTCTGGAAGCAGGAGGTGGGGTAAAAGGAGACTCTGCCCTTTGATGGGAGGAAATTGCAAGTGTGCCCAATCACAGTGACCCTATCAGCATTTAAATCTTCATTTTGAAAACAAAAACCGGGTTAAACAAAGTGGTTAAGGGAATGTCTTCCCTGCTTCCTCTTCCCTTGCCAACCTCCTGAGACAATATGAAGATCAATGAGATAATCTCAGTAAAATAGTTTGTAATCCTAACAGTGCTTCTCAAACTTCAGCGTGCAGGCTAAACTCTTGTAGATCTTGTTAAAATGCAGATTCTGATTCAGTAAGTGCTATGGATTGAATGTTTGTGTCCCCCCAAAATTCATAGTTGAAATCCTCACCCCTTGTGTGATGATGTTTGGAGGTGAAGCCTTTGGGAGATAATTAGGTCTTGAGGGTGGAGCCCTCATTAATGGGATTAGTACCCTTGTAAGAAGAGACATGAGAGTCTCTCTCTCCCCCCCCCTCTCTCTCTCTCTCTCTGTCTCTCTCTCTCTCTCTCTGCCATGTGAGGACACAACAAGATGGCAGCCATCAGCAATTCAGGAAGAGAGCCCTTATCAGACACAGGAT